AATAAGCCTATTACTTCTAAATTTTGGTGTTTTTTTATGTAAAATCTTGCTAACATTATAAACAGTGTTGAGGAAAGTTACTTTTAAAAGTAATGCATTACAATATTGTGTTACTTCCTAAAAAAGTAACTAATTACGTTACTTAGTTACTTTTTATTGAAAGTAATGCATTATGTTACTTTTGCGTTACTTTTTAAATCTGGGCAGGGCTTGCTTGTTTGCTTTTAATATAAAAAGTTCTATTTTTGGCAAATGTAAAAGCCCTTTCACACCAAAAGCCTCAGGCTGAAGGAAATGTAAATTCACGTCTGTACAGTAGAACACAGAAGAAGAAAGTTCAACACTCAGCATTCAGCAATAAAAAAAGAAGAAGAAATGTTAGTTTATCTTGTGCAATTTTTGCTTATTAATTTGGTTGAATTGGATCATCGAAGGTCAGCAGCAAATTGGCTAATAAAATGGGATTAAATACATAAAGGATATTTGTATTATTTAAAATATTTAATTATTGCAGCTTTGCATCATATTCTGAGTTGCTTTTAACTGTTTTTTTTTATTTTGAGGAAAACTAAATGTTTTTTTTTTTTTTTAATGCATGTTCACATTTATTATAGAACTAAAGTAACTCGAGCTACGTCGAAAACGCTAGGGGAACGAGAATGCCCACGCCGCCAGACTTCCAAGTCTCTGCCTAGTGTGGAAACTGCACAGTTAGGGTGAGAGAACAGAAGAGCCGGGAGTGGCTCGCATGTCTAGACCGTAAAACCTAACAAAGGTAAGGGGTGTGGACCAACCCTTTTTTTTGCAGATGTCCTGCATAGGCACACCCGCTAAAAAAGCCTTTGAGGCTGCCACACTTCGAGTCGAGTGAGCCTTGACCCCTAATGGCGAGGGGAGATCAGAGGACTCATAACATATGGAGATGGCATCCACTATCCACCGACTGAGGGTTTGCTTAATTGCTGGAAGACCTCTCTTAGGGGGACCGTAGCACACAAGCAACTGGTCCGCCCTCCTCCACAGGGCAGCTCTGTGGACGTATGCATCCAGTGCTCGTACTGGACAAATACTGCGGTGCTGATGAGGGGATTTTAGGGACATACCCCACACGAGGGTACAGAAATGCTTTGGCCAGACCTCCACAGCTCCGGGCGGGGGTGAAATATCGTGCCCTCCGCCTGTGAGAGGAGGTCCCTCCTGACGGGAATCTCCCATGGAGAGCCGTCGAGAAGGGAAATCAGGTCCGAGAACCATACTCGGCTCGGCCAGAACGGGGCTACTAACAATAAGCGGACTACGTCCTGGCGCACTCTCTCCAGAACTCCTGGGAGCAGAGCGATCGAGGGAAAGGCATACAGACGAAGCCTCGGCCACGCCTGTACCATGGCATCCAGCCCCAGCGGAGCTGGACGAATCAGAGAGCACCAGAGGGGACAGAGCATCAGAGGGGACATTGCGATGTCTTCTGAGTCGCAAACAAGTCCACCTGAGCCTGGCCAAAAATACTCCATATCTGCTTCACCACCTCGGGGTGAAGCATCCATTCCCCGGGCCTCGGCCCCTGCCTCGACAGGATGTCTGCTACCACATTGAGATGCCCAGGAATGTGCACTGCTCTCAGAGAGAGGAGTCTCTCCTGGGACCACAAAAGGATCTGGTGTGCCAATTTGTATAAACGACGCGAGCGCAGCCCTCCCTGGTGGTTTATGTATGAGACCACCGCTGTGTTGTCGGTGCGCACCAACACATGGTGACCTCTCAGGTCTGGGATAAAGTGTTTCAATGCTTGAAATACGGCCAGCATCTCCAGACAATTGATATGCCAAGTCAGATGGCGAACACTCCACAGACCGCGGGCAGGGTGGCCACTCATGACCGCACCCCAACCGGTAAGGGATGCATCTGTCGCTAGCGTCGCATGGCGACAAAGAGCTCCCAGCACCGGGCCCTGAGCCAAGAACCAAGGTTTCCTCCACATGTCTAAGGCACGTAGGCATCTCCGCGTGACCTTGAACATTACAAGAGTAATCATGTTGGACGCAGATGCCATCAGACCCAGCAGTCTTTGAAACTGCTTTCACTCTCTTGACTGCAGTGAGGATCGACTAGAACCTAGCAGGAGACAAAAACGTGCCTGCATCGTGGTCGAATCCCACACCACTCCCAGATAGGTGGTTCTCTGTAATGGAGAAAGCACACTTTTCTTGGCGTTTAGTCTTAACCCCAGCTCTCTCATGTGAGCAAGAACAATATCTCGATGTTGAACCGCTATCTGCTCTGAACGAGCTAAAATCAACCAATCGTCGATGTAGTTGAGTATGCGGATGCCCTGGAGTCGCAACGGAGCCAGAGCAGCATCCACACACTTCGTGAATGTACGGGGTGAGAGTGCAAGGCCGAAAGGAAGAACACGACATTGGTACGCTTTGCCCCCAAAAACGAACCTCAGGAACTTCCTGTGATGAGGAAGGATGGAGATATGGAAATATGCGTCTTTCAGATCGATCGTGACAAACCAGTCCTCGGACCTGATCTGGGACACGACTTGCTTGAGTGTGAGCATTCTGAACTTCAGTCGCATGACTGAGCGGTTCAATAGGTGCAGATCTAAAATGGGACGCAACCCCCCA